AAGAGCAAAGAAAGATGTTAGAAGTACCACATGTGGGAACATAGAACAATCTATTTTAAAAAATATTTGTGGGTGGAAATATAAAAATGCCTCGAATATTCCACACTGGCATTATTCCATCACTTGTAAACAACTAGATCTGCACCTCTCCTTGCTCCTTCTCCTCCGCCTGACTCAGGAGGAAGCCTTCAGCCAGAGCCACTGCCTGGGAACTGGTTTCGGCTCCACATTCCCACAACCAATGTTCCATCTCCAGAGGCAGAATGGCCAGGAACTGCTCCAGGACTACCAAATCCAGCATCTGGGCTTTTGTATGTTTTTCTGGGTTCAGCCATTGATTGCAAAGATGGTAGAGGCGGTTGCAGTTTCCTCAGGGACCCTCAGCATCCTGATACTGGAGCTCCCTGAAGGGTTGTCTCTTTGTGTGGAAAGTAACTGTTTTTTCACTCTGGATCTTCTGTCTTGCCTTTTTTTCATCTATTGCATTGCTCTCCTGAAGAGGATCACAAAGCGCCAGTCCTTCCCAAACTGGTTTTCCTGGGTTCATTTTCCCTCTGGGCTCAAGTGCACTCTCCAATGAGTCTTCAAACCTTCTTTCGTCTTTCTGGAATGTCATAAAAACTCTGATGAGAAATTTAATGGTGTCATTCATTCATCTTTACTTCTCTACTCTCTACTCTTTTTGTCTCGATGCAAGGAAGACCTACAGAGGATGAAGTTGCTTCTTATTTCCAACCTGCAATGGAAAATAATGCAAAGGAGCATCAGTCTTTTGAAGACTCACTTTTGAGGGTATGCCTAAGAGGTTGCCACAAAGAAGGGTGTGTGTGTCAACCTATTCTCCAAAGCACCTGAAGGCAGGACAAGAAGCAATGGATGGGAACGAATCAAGGAGAGAAGCAACCTAGGACAAAGTAAAAATTTCATGAAGAACAACTTGTCTCCAGAAGTTGTGGGTATTCCAACACTGGAGGATTTTAAGAAGTGGTTGGGCAACCATTTGTCTGAAATGGTATAGGGCAGGGATGCCCAACCCTGAGTCCGTGGACTGGCACTGGTTCGCAACATGCCAGAAACCTGTCATGCAAAGAAATGAACATCCATGGGATGTAGGCAGTTCATGAAATCATGAGCCCTCCTGTCTGTGAAAAAACCTCTCTCCACAGAACTGGTCCCTGGACCCCAAAAGGTTGGGGACCACTGATATAGGGCTTCTTGCCTGAGCAGCAGGTTGGACTAGAAGACCTCCAAGGTCCCTGCCAACACTGTTATTCATGTTGGAATCTCCTGCCTGTCAAGCCTTCCCACAGAACCATTTCAGGAAGGAGGAGATTTTTCACTCTGCTCAGAGAGGCTTCTTTGGCCAGATCCAGCAGAGCAACTCACAGGGGTCAGCATCTTCCACCTTGGAGGAGCCCTCTGTCGGCCCTCCGCCCCCCCACCCCACCCCGAGAGTCAGGGGATCTGAACCTTTGGAGTTGGATCTCCCGGGATCTGCAGTGGGTGGCCCTGGAGCGACTCCAGCAGGGAAGGGGCACAAGCCGGAGTCACTCCAGATTCATGCGTGTTCCCATGCGGTCGGGTGAAGAGATTTCACCTCAGAAATCCGTCCCTCCCCCTTTGCAACTGCACACCCCGCACCCACCCGCGCCAGTCGCCCCTCAAAGCTCTGAGAGGCGCTCCTGCTTCCTGCTCCGCCCACGCCCAGAACGGGCTGCCAAGTCGCCCAACCGCACGCCCGTTAGGTGGACCGCTTCTTCGCGGAGGCGCGTGCCTCCCGTGGCGGCGCCGGGATTGGTCCGAGGGTAAGACGGTTGCCCAATGGGAGCGCAGCGTGCTTGAAGGCCGCTGCAGTTGCTGTGCAGACTGGGCTGTCCGTTGCTCACTCGAAGTTGTTGTTTTTTGACGCGGTGTCTGCGCTCCCCTCAGCTCCCTCAGACCGAGCGGCGGATTCAGTCCGTGAGGGAGACGAGGCAGAGGCGTCTGCGGTTGCTTGGCTGTTGGAGTTTTTCCCCTCTCCCCATTATTGGGAGTCTTTCCGCGAAGTTTTTTCATCCTGGCTCTCGTTTCTATTCTTGCCTGAGGGATTTGCGCTCCACGCAGCTCCCTCAGACCGAGCGGTTTTCTAAATCCGCTCAGAGGAGCCGGGGGTGGGCAGGACCCAAAGCCTCATTCGAAGGGTGACGCTAGAAATTGGGGAGCAGGAGAAAAGACTCCCCCGGAGAGAAACATAGGAGTCCTGAAGGGATTTGAGAGGCAAAGGTTGTCAGAAGACTGTTAATGTTGAGGGGAGAAGAGTGCGACTGACTCCTGGCAAGCAGTCAGATTCCCTTAACAACCGGGTTACTAACATATCAGCTGCACTGATTCACTTAAAAGATTCACTTAACAACTGAGGCAAGAAAGGTCGTAAAATGGGACAAAATTCACTGAACAAATGTCTCACTTAACAAATTTTGGGCTCAAGAATAGTCATAAGCCAAAGAAAGGAATAATTGTATTAACTATGACTAATATTTATGTATATATGTAAATTTGTATTTTTTTGTTATGTATGCACCAGGTTCATTGTTTTTAAATGTTTTTCTTTTTATTGTTCATTAATAAAATTTATTAATAATTTAAAAAAAGAATAGTCATAAGCCAAGGACTACCTATAGTTGGATATGGCAACTAGTTAGAAGAATATATTTTGTTTCTTCCATGATATTCCCTAACCAGTAGATCGTCTTGGCTGTTAAATTATTTTAAGTGGAAGTTTACATTATATGTATCAAACTGGCAATTGTATGAATAGTTGGCAGTCAAAAGCCAAATATCACATCTGCTTAAAAGGATCCGTAAATCGAGGACTACCTGTGGCTGCCATTTATATCTCCTAAGTTGCTCTTTTTTTTTTTGAGAAATAGCTGGGAGAGGGGAGAAAAATGTAATCCTTATCTTTTCAACGTTCACATAAATCCATTTTCCCTTAATTTGGGCAGTATGGTGAGCTTGCAAAGAGTTTTGTTGGGAGATCCCATTGCAGAAAGGAAGAACTGACCATGGGGTTGCTGGAATGGTCATAACTGAAAAACTGTCAGAAGTGAGAGCGATCAACCAATGGAACAGCTTGCCTTCACAAATTGTGGGAGCTTCATCACTGGAAGCTTTCAAGAAAAGCCTGAACTGCCATCTGTCAGAAATGGTGTAGGGCAGGGGTCCCCAACCACCGGTCCGCGGACCGGTACCAGTCCGCGGAACAACTCCTACCGGGCCGCTGGCTTGCTGGGCGCCGCCATCTTTTTTTCATGAAAAAGTGCTTCCGGTGAGCTTTTCCGGGTAGAAAGCTCACCGGAAGCACGTTTTCATCAAAAAAAGATGGCGGCGCCCAGCTGATGCCGGTACCGGGCCGCGGCGTCAAAAAGATTGGGGATCACTGGTGTAGGGTCTCCTGCTAGGGCAGGGATTGGACTAGATCAGGAGTCACCAACTTTTTGGACCTCAGGAACCACCAAACTCATAATTTTAAATCCCAGGGACCACTAACTGGTTCTGTGGGCTTGGCCTAATTTGAGGGTGTGGCTTGGTGGTCATGTGACTGGCTGGGCATGGCTTGTATGTAACTATTAAAAAAATATTTAAAAAAGCAACTTTTACCCAAAATCAGGCAAAGTAGGCAGGCAGATTGAGTTGCTCATAGAATCACAGATTCATTCAGAAATCTATCTGCCATTGGCTAGCTCAGTCTGTCACATAAAATTTGTCAGTAAGCAAACTCACAAAATTAACTCACAACACACCATGTATGTAAATATTGATTTTTTTATTAAAAAAAGAGCAACTTTTACCCAAAGTCAGGCAAAGCAGGCAGGCAGATTGAGTTGCTCACAGAATCATTCAGTGATCTATCTACCTGCCATTGGCAAGCTCAGTCTCTCAAATTTGCTTGCCGTGAGTCTGCACTGAATAATAGGAACTTCAGTCCTAAGGGAGGTTTGGCTGTGCTTAAAAGCAGAGCCGAAGATCTAAAGACTAGCTAGAAAGCAAGAAATCCGACCATTTCCTGCTTCCTAGCTAATCTAAATCTCCTGGCACAGCAGAATACAAGATGGTCAGAAAAAGGAAAAATACCAATTTAGCAGGCAAGTTTGCAGGGTAAGGAGTGAGTGGGCGGGGAGGGTTCCCGCGCGCCATGTGGGCAGCACAGCCTTGTGTTTCTGCACAGCCTGGATTAATTGCTTTGGGGGGGGTACTCTGGGGGTGAGATTTCTCTGCGGCCCACCAGAATTTTCTCACAGCCCACCAGTGGGCTGCGGCCCATCGGTTGGCAACCACTGGACTAGATAACCTACAAGGTCCCTTCCATCTCTATTAATCTGTAATTATAAAAATGGTGTAGAGTCTCCTGCTTGGGCAGAGGTTGGACTAGAGACCTACAAAGTCCCTTCCAACTCTATTAGTCTGTAATCTATAAAAGCCATTTTTTCAGTGCCATTGTAACTTTGAACGGTCACTAAATGAACTATTGTAAGTCAAGGTATTGAGTTCTTTGCATCTTCCCACCCAGCGAAGGAGGTGGTCCTCAACTTAGATTTTTTTTCGGATGCTCCATGTGAAGAAAACAGAATATTTTCTCCAAGCCTTTCCGAACAATAATTGATCAAATTTCGGGTGGGGGGGGGAGGGGAAACCGATTCGGCCAACTCTTGGGGTCCCGGATCTTGGGATTCACTTGGCAACCACGGAGCCCAACTACATCGTACCGGCTTTTCCCGGGCTTTCTCGTCCAACTTTTCCCCTGCTTTTTTCTCCAGTGGTACGAAGGGCAACTTTCGCTTTCCATCCGGAGGGAACCGCACTCAATCCGGTCCTGGAGACGATCAGACTGATTTATCTACATTCGCGGCTGGAGTTCTGAGCAGGTCGACAGGAAGTGAGTGTCTGGACTCTCTAGGAAAAAGTCATCTTCCACCCACACTTCCGGGAAGCAAAGATTCGGGCATTCCTCGCAGACATGGAGATTTGGTGAGGCTGGAAGCTCCTTCTTAGCGCTCAGCGGCAATATCTGTGTTGCTTCACAAGAAGCGGATGTTCTGCTGAGGCTCCGCGGTTGGAATAAAGTTTCCACTGCCTAGATCGCAGTGGCTGGGAAAACGGGTGGGTCGTGCTTCCCCCATTTATATATTTATATATTCCTGATTGCTTCCCTCTGCTTCCCCTTTCAAGGGATGCGGGCAGGGAAACGGGCAATTTGTCGCATCTCAGGAGAGAGCTGTCCTGAGCAAGAGCAATGCATTGTCTACAGAATCTACAGAAGTGAAAGCTGAATTTATATATCAAGAGGTTTCGGGTGATCTCAGAAAGTTTCAACAAACCCTATGGGTTTGTTAATAAAAGTATAGATCTTTTTGTAAAACTACGTGAAGTTGTTGAAGAATCTGCTTTTAATTACTTTTTAAAAGACAACTTTGGTCCCTTCATCCTGCGGTTGATTTCAGGTGTAGAGCTGCTATAGACTACTGTACTGTAAAAGATGCAAAATTAACTAAGCTCTGCCAAGAGAATAGCAGGAAGGGACCTCGGAAGTCTTCTAATACAACCTCCTGCTCAAGCAAGAAGCCCCATACCATTTAAGACAAATGATTGTCCAATCTTTTCTTGGCTTCCCAGCTGATAAAATTATCTTGTACTCAAATCTCTCAAGGATTCTCAGAGCAAAGATTTGCTTGCAATGAGAGAGTTCCATTTAGGAGAAATAGAGCCCAGTCTCCCATCTAAAAAGCCCTTTGATTGCTGATGGTCTCCCCCAAACATTAACTCTGGTTGAACATTATTAGAAAAAAAATTGGGGCTAGGATATAATATATGTCATATATTAATACTCTTTTTTCTTTTTGATCATAGATTTGGAGCTGGATGTATGCTGTTTTATCTGCAAACTGTTCCATAGAAACAAAAACTTGTCACCAGAGAGAGCTCACTGGTCTGTTTGGATTCCTCACTGGATCTTTTCAGACATTTTGATTCTATAGATGGAAGAAGGTTTGGAGACCCTTTACTCATTGGGAATTTCGATTGAGCATAGGTGGAAAATGGATAGAAAAAAATCAGAATGTGAGGGAACAGCAGTAGGCCCTCTCCTTCCGAGGGAGACCAGTCTGAACATTTGGGAAACATGCAAACAGAAGATCCCAGATGAAGAAAAAATAAGCACTGACATCCAGCGACAAATGTTTAGAGAGTTCTGCTACCAGGAGACTAAGGGCCCCCGAGAAATATGCAGCCACCTTCATTATCTTTGTTCCCAGTGGCTGCAGCCAGAGAGAAATTCAAAGTCTCGGATACTGGACATGGTGATCCTGGAGCAACTCTTATCTATCCTGCCCCCAGAGATCAAGAACTGGGTCAAGGAATGTGGAGTGGAGACTAGTTCTCAGGCAGTAGCTCTGGCAGAAAGCTTTCTTCTGAGCCAATTGGAGGAGAAGAAGCAGGAAGAGACGAAGGTCGGATTGTCCCAAGAGAGTGATAATAAAAATCTCAACATTTTTGATAATAAAAATCTCAAAATTTAAGTATACAGTTATTTCAAACCATTTTGGGGCTGGCCATATAAAAGTCTTGACTCAGGCCAGCCTTAAAATGGAGGGATCTTGCTCTTATTACCCAAATTAGATGGGAGCTTAAGTTTATCAGTCCTTTCTGTTATTAATTATATGTATAAGGGAGGAGTATAACTTCTTAAAGTATTGGTTGCCTTTTCTGAACATTTCCCAGGAGTTGGGAGAAACCCAAGCTCTTTTCCCACAGATGAACCTGGAGCAGAAGGGGAGGTGAGAGGGAAGTTGGAAATACATTTTGTCCAATTTCTGTTAATCCCATTCCCTTCTGATGTCTACAGTTGCAAGCTAAGAGGTCCTGTCTTAATTTGGTCACTGAATGCTGTGAAGGAAGAGGGAATCTGTTCATACCTTCTAGGGATCCATTCTTAGGAGACGTCTCCCAAAAGGATCCAGTTCAGGACAGACCACCAGGTAAGGAATAATTTATTCTAATGGCAAAAAATTATCAAGAGCTCTCCAAACTACAGGTAATCCTCAACTTACAACCATTCATTTAGTGATCGTTGAAGTTACGATGAAAATTGTGACTGTTTTTCATACTTATGACCATTGCAGTATCTCTCTGGTCTCGTGATTTAAATTCGGATGCTTGGCAACTGGTTCATGTTTATGATGGTTGCAATGTCCTAGAGTCATGTGATCACCTTTTGCGACTTCTGACAAAGTCAGAGGAAAAGCCAGATTCACTTAACCAACTGTATTGCTAACTTAACCACTTCAGATATTCGCTTAACAACTGTGGCAAGAAAGGCCATAAAATGGGACAAAATTCACTTAACAACTTTCTTGCAAATTATGGGCTCAATTGTGGTTGTAAGTCAAGGACTATCTGCACTTTCATTCATGAGCTTCTTTTGCAACCGAACTTTGCTCCTCTTGGCACAAATTATTTAGATTCCCCCAGAATATACTGTATTAAGTATATTCTTTAAAAATGTCAATTTCTTTCATCTTTGTCCTCCCCACAGAGAACAAAACAATGAATCCACTCTCATTAGGAAATCAAGCATCTCTTGCTGATGGAGTGGAAACAAGGACTATCCTTCCAGCTCAGGTAGGAAGAAAATTTTCCCCATCCTCAGAACTGCATACGTGATTTAATTAAAATGCATTCCTTCAACTGCTAAAACTGTATTTCTAATCTAGAATCAGTCCTTTTCCTGACCAATAGCACTGTATGAATGAACTTCACTTGATCAGCTGCCATCCAGCCACCTTCTGGAATAGGAGCAGCTCTGGTGGATGTAAGAAACAGCTCAGGATGGGGAAAATCTGGAATGATATTTATTCATGCATTAATCGATCAAATCCTGTGGAAATATTAATCAGCCTTTGTACAGTTAATCAGCCTTTATCTCCAGTGTGATTTCAGCCAGTGGATGTGAGCTATGTCCAGTAATTTCCTTAATTCTGAAACTTGTCAGAAAAAATATATATAAGTTTATTTTATTGCAAGATTCTGCTCTGGAGATTTCTTAGAGATCTTGAAAGACTTCTCAGTCTGTCTGTTAATAAAGAATTTATTTACTCCTCTTTCAGGATTCCATATCCTTCAAGGAGGTGGCCATCTATTTCACCAAGGAGGAGTGGGCTCTGCTAGACCCTGATCAGAAAGCTCTGCATGAAGAAATCATGTTGGAGACTTGTAGGAATGTGGCTTTTCTGAGTAAGAGTTTCTTTGCTTTCTGTTCAAATAGTTGGGTTAGGTATTTTCTAGTTGGACGGAACCCAATTATTTGTAGTTTTCTGACCTTCTTGGTAGACCAGATCAAAAAACAGATCCTGTGGGAATTTCATAAATTCTGTTTTATTGTGCAATGTAGGAACAGAAACTTGAAAGTTTCTGTTTGTGCCCCCTCCTACTAAACAAAGTTAAGGCAGGTTTATTTTGTATTCCTTTTTCACACTTGCTTTAATCTCAGATCATTCCTAAATTCCTTTAGTAGACATAATGTCCAGATATACCCATTTCATATTGGGCTGGACGGAAGGTGGTGCATCGCAGGGGTCTTGACATGCTGTCTGGAGGCTGCCAACATCTGGGTGGACTAAAATAGGAGCACACTCAAGAAAGATAGAATTATACCAATCTAGAAATCAGCAAGTTCTAAAATGATTGTCCCAAAAGTGCTTTTCCAAAAGGCAATTGGGACTCCCTTGGTTTTTTCTTGAAAACATTTCGCTTCTCACCCAAGTTCGGAAGAAGCTTCTTGGATGAGAAGCGAAATGTTTTCAAGGGGAAAAAACAGGAAAATCTAGTTGCCTTTTGGAAAAGCACCTTTGGAGCAATCATGACCTGGATGATTGAGAATCTCCATGGAAACTTCTGGAATAATTCAAATTTTGATTGCAGGTGGGATTGTGCTCCACAAAACAATAGAATGACCTGCAATTTGACAGCAGTGGTAATCGATGATGGCCTTATGCCATGTAGGTATTTGCCCAGCTTCAGCAGGTGTGACTGTTGCAGCCTTTTAGGGAAAATAAGGGTTCTGTGAATGGTTGCTCATGCTATTGTCATTTCTTAGCTAGATTACTGCAACTCACTCTACATGCAGCTGTCCTTGAAGACCAACCAAAAGCCTTAGGTTCAAACATGCTACTGCATTATAATTAATATGCTAAGAAGCTGCACTGGATACAAGTTACTTTCTAAGTGCAATTCAAGGGGTTTGTTGTAATTTATAAGGCCATGAACATGTCCCTAAAAGATTAAGTGCTAGAAAGAAGTACAGTAGTACCTTGATACTCAACTGCTTTGAAACTTGTTGAATTTGGTACTCAATGAATTTTGATACAAAACATTTTTCCTGGTGGTCATCATTGGCTTGGTACTCAACACACCACCTAGAACTTGTCAGTGTCAGCTGTCTTGTGACTCACTACATTATTCCTTATGGGAAAATTTTGTTTGGTACTCATTTTTTTGTACTCATCATGCCTCCTGGAACCAATTAACAAGGAATACCAAGCTACCACTGTACTTCTTTACACAATGTAATGATAATTTGGAATATTTTGTCTTGATTCATTCTTTTTCTCCCAAATAGGTAACGAGCGGAAGAACAAACAGGAAACAGAGATAGAGCCATTGCGAGTCATCAAGGTTGAAGTGGGAGAAGAGACATTTCAGAATCAGTGTCCTTCAAAAAATCCAGAGGAAATTCAAGTAAAAATTCAGAGGCATAAAAATACTAATTCATGTCCTAAAATCTATGACTTCCTGACCCCAAAAGATATTAAAACAGAGAGAAGGCGACAATGTTTAGATTTTCAGAAAATATTTGAAGATCAATCAGATTTAAATGAACAATGCGAATGGAAAGATGATGGGGAAAAGTACAGGAGGTTTTGCTCTTTTACTTTGCATCAACAAGATTACATGGGAAAGAAACCATTTAAATGCAAAGTATGTAGGAAAAGCTTCAGCAAGTACAGTAAAATTATTGCACACGAAAGAATCCACACAGGGGAGAAGCCATTTAAATGCATGGAATGTGGTAAGAGCTTTACGCAGAGTAGTCACCTTACTTCCCATAAAAGGATCCACACAGGAGAGAAGCCTTATAAATGCTTGCAATGTGGAAAGAGCTTTACTCAAAATAGTCACCTTACTTACCATAAAAGGCTTCACTCAGGGGAGAAACCGTATAAATGCACCGAGTGTGGAAAGAGCTTTGCTGATTCTAGTTCCCTTCTTGTGCATAAAAGGATCCACACCGGGGAGAAACCTTACAAATGCACGGAATGTGGCAAGAACTTCACCTTGAGTAGTCACCTTACTTCCCATAAAAGAATCCACACAGGAGAGAAACCATTTCAGTGTATGGAATGTGGAAAGAGCTTTAGTACGAAGAGTTCTCTTAAATTTCATAAAAAGATCCATACAGGAGAAAGACCATATGTATGCATGGAATGTGGAAAGAGCTTCAAGCGGATTGCTGATCTAACTCGACATGACAGAACACATAGAAAAGAAGTTCCATACAAATCTACCAGGTGTGGTAAAAGCTTCCATAACAGCAGACACCTTACTTCGCATGAAAGAATAGAAAAGCCATTTGAATATAGACAGTCTGGGGACGAGCTTCCCATTGATTATGTTGACTAATTATTAATAAACGAGAATATATTTTAAAATTTTAATAATTAATAAAGGAAACTAATAAGCAATAAAGTGTGTCAGCTCTTAGCAACCACATGCATGGATTTTCTCCATTCAAGTCTGTCCTGAGGTATGGATGTTAATCACCACAAAGAATTCATACAAAGGAAATGCTGTATAAATTCACTGAATATGAGGGGGAAATTCAGTGAAAATGTTTCTCTCTTTTTTTTCTTTTTACAATCCTGTAATCCCTTTTCTTGGAGTGGAGTGGACTGAACTGGCCAGATGCCCTTCCTGACATCTACATGGAGTTTCCAGCAGATATTTTCTCTTTGCACCTTGATAGAGAAACATCTGCCACTACCTAGGATTGAACTCTTCAGCCTTCTGAGAGGGAGGCAAGCATCTTCACTTCTAGCCACCACGCTAGTGACATTTCTCTTATTTCCCATAAAAAGATCCACACAGGAAAGACGTCTTAAATGTCTGGAATGTGGAAAAAGCTTCAGAAGAGTAATCTTAATGCCTGCAAGAAGGATCCACAGAGGGGAGAACCCGAATGGATGCAGTTAATGTGGAAAGTGCTTCAGTATTAACAGATTACTTTATAGGCAGTCCTCAACTTACAACAATTTGCTTAGTGACTGTCCGAGGTACCACAGCACTGAAAAAACTGGCTTAAAACCAGATCTCGCACTTACAACTATTAACAGTATCTGCATGATCATGTGATCAAAATTTGGGGGTAGGCAACTAAATATGTATATATGATAGTTGCAGTGTTCTGGAGTCATGTGATTATCATTTGTGACCTTCTCAACTGGCTTCTGACAAGCAAAGTCAATGGGGAAATCAAGGTTCGCTTAATGATGATATGATTCATTCAACAGCTGCACTGATTTGCTTTATAAATGTGGCAAAAGTTGTAAAATCAGGTGCAACTCACTTAACAACCGCTTTGCTTAGCAATGGAAATTCTGATCCTAATGGTGGTGATAAGTCGAGGACTAACTGTATATATGAAAATAAAGGCCAAAAGGGAAGAAACCACACAAGTTATGGAGACTGAATAGAACTTCGTTCATTGTAGTAACCTAATTTCCCATAAATGAAACCACACAGAAAATAAATTCTAAAGTATGGAAAGTGCTTCAGGTGAATGTTAATTTTGCATGACCTCAAAAACAAAAAACAAAAAACAGGAGGAAACTGCATACTACAAACATCTACTAATATTTGATACCTTGGACTATATCTGGTCTTGTGAAGTTGACTTTAGAAACTGAATGAATCCAGAACACAGTTTAATTTTAACTTCCTTTTATTTAACTTTCATTTGTCAAAATTAAATGAAAGGGCCCTAAAAAATTAAGAAATAACAACTTGGTGGATTTTGTGGAATGATGGTTGAATTTTGCTACAAATATTAAAGGTAGGTGGGATGGGAACGTTCAATATTACTGATTGCATTTGTAAAGGTGTTACTTATTACTACTTCATTAGCACTTGGTGAACTTCGAATGTTCTTTGAAACTAAGCATATTCCATCCTGGTTATTAATTCTTGGTGGGCCTGGAAGAAATTCTAGTGTTGTCGGCAGAAGGATTTCCAGGTTGCTAAAAAAATTGAGTACAATCAATCATTGCTGAGATCAACTTATCTTTAATTATGTTTTACATGGTTCATTTGTAATTTTTTCTTGCTTGTGTATTACAGATGGATTTTTCTATAAAACTCTTCTAATGATTGTTACGTGTTCACAGTGTTTATAATCTAATTCAGTCAGACTGTTTAGGAACTCAGTTTTGTTCCCTAAAAGATATGAAGAGAGAATCTATATATAGTCTAGGGCCATGATGGCGAACCTCTGGCACGTGTGCCACAGGTGGCATGCAGAGCCATTTGTGTGGGCACGCAAGCCCCAGCCAAACTTACCTGCACTGCACATGCACGCCTCCCACATGATTTTCGGCCTGTTTGAGGCCTTTTTCACCTTCCCGAGGGCTCGAGAGAAGTCTCTGCAGCCTTTGGAAGCCGAAAAACAGGCCTTCCGGAAATACCGGAAGTGCCAAAACCGAAAGTAGCAAAACGGGCCCATTTTTTGGCCTCCAAAGGTTTGCAGAGGCTTCCCTTGAGCCCCCGGGAGGCAGGGAAAACGGCCTCAAACGGGCTGAAAATCAGCTGGGAGGCATGCGCAGTGCAGCTAAGGGGGGGATGTTGCACACGCAGAAGGGCAGGGCGCATTGCATTGTGGGTGCTGGCACACGTGCGCTTTCAGCACACGACAATAGAAACCATCACTGGTTTAGGGCTCTATACACTTACTGTGTATACTACCTTTCAGGCAGAAACTCTCACCATTTTCAGTGGGGGGCTTTTCATGTTTTCATTGATACACTGTTAAACTGGTGCTGGTTCTTCGTGACCACATAATTTTTTTCCCATGGTGATCTGCCCCTAATATGTAGTCTTTCAGATCTCATTTTATGAGTAATGTACAATTTATTTTTGCTTTTTTTCTGGGGAATCTTTTCTTTTTTGGATTGTGGATTCTGACAGGTGCTGACAAAGCACTAAGCAGTAAACTGACCTACCAGTAGTTTGTGGTTGATATAAGTATTTGCCATAGTGAAAATCAAGTTATGGTGAGATGTTCCCAAGGACTTTTTTAAACTTGTCGAATGGCCTACTTGGTTTGTTTAAGAAAGTGTAAAGTGAGGTGCACTAAGACAAAAAAAATATCATAATTTGACATAGACACAAATTGTCTGTATCTAAATCTGTCTGTATCTAATTAGGAGAAAGATCTTGGCATGTGAGAACAGAGAATTATACTTTTTGCGGTAGTTGTGAAAACTATTCTAATGAGGAAACTGGAGATTGCCAGAACTATTGTTACTAAGCAGCTCAGTCCTATGATGTCATGCTTTACAGCTACATTGTTTAGCAAAAGAAATTCCAGTCCCAATTACTGCTAAGTGAGGACTACCTGTAAGCCCTTTATGGGACAGTCTTTAAAATATTTGAAGACGTCTATTGTACTGCCCAGGTCTTTTCACAAATACATATTAAAGTTTTTAACTATTCCGCATAGAGCACTTGGTTTCCAGGCCCCTCATTAATCATGTATGCCCCTCTGAAGTTGCTACAGTTAGTCCCTGTTCTTTTGGAAGTGTGATGACCAGAACTGGACACAAGGCTCCAAATGTGGCATTACCAGGACAGAACAGAATGAAATAATTAAGAGGACATCCTGTGAGTTAGGCTCTCTTCTCCACTTACTATATTTCAAAATAATATTTGCCTTTTTAGAATAGAATAGAATAGAATAGAATAGAATAGAATAGAATAGAATAGAATAGAATAGAATAGAATAGAATAGAATAGAATTCTTTATTGGCCAAGTGTGATTGGACACACAAGGAATTTGTCTTGGTGCAAATGCTCTCAGTACACATAAAAGATACATTCGTCAAGAGTCAATAATCATAAGGTACAACACTTAATGATAGTCATAGGGTACAATAAGCAATCAGATCATACTATAAATTGTAAGGATACAAGTGACAAAGTCATACAGTCACAAGTGGGAGGGGATGGGTGAAAAGAAAGGTGGGAAGATTAATAGTAATAGTAATGCAGCCTTTGTAAATAGTTGGACATTGTTGAGGGAATGATTTGTTTAGCAGAGTGATGGCGTTTGGGAAAAACTCCTTATGTCTAGCTGTTCTGGTGTGCAGTGCTCTATAGCGTTGTTTTGAGGGTAGGAGTTGAAACAGTTTATGTCCGGGATGCTGCTAATTGTATTTATTTACATTGTGATCACTGAAAACATTCCCTTTCAAAAGTACAATGGCAGCATAGGTGACTTCCAACCTTTCATTTAGTAACCATTCGAAGTTAATGACAGCACTGAAAAAGTGACTCACGATCGTTTTTCACACTTACAACTGTTGCAGTGTCCCCATGGTCACATGATCAAAATTCAGATGCTTGCCAGTGGGTTCATATTTATGACGGTCGCAGTGTCCTGGGGTCACGTGATCACCTTTTGCGACCTGACGAGGAAAGTCAATGGGGAAGTCAGATTCATTCAACAACCGTGTTACTAATTAACATCTGCTGTGATGCACTTAACAACTGTGCAAAGAAAAGTTGTAAAAGGGGGCAACATTCACCTAACTTTTCTCGCTTAGCAACAGAAATTTTGGGCTCCATTGTGGTGGTAAGTTGAGGACTACGTGTAGAGTTTTGTGGTTCTGATGGGCTTTGTAAAAGAGCATCATCCAGGGGTGGTTTTCAGCAGGTTCTGATCAGTTCTGGAGAACCAGTAGCGGAAATTTTGAGTAGTTCAGAGAACCGGCAAATACCACCTCTGACTGCCCCTGCCCCCATCTATTCTCTGCCTCCCGAGTCCTAGCTGATCAGCTGGCTCTTCTTTTGTTGCCCTGCACAGGAGAACAGAACTGAAAAGCAGGTTAGTGGGGTGTGCAGGGAATAGAGATTTTGCAGTAACCTTCCCCCTGGAGTGAAGAGGGAATGGGGATTTTACAGTATCCTTCCCCTGCCATGCCCACCAAGCCACACCCACAGAACCGGTAGTAAAATAATTTGAATCCCACCCCTGGCATCCTCCAATTTTCATGCCTGATTTTCCTGAGAAAGAGATGTCCCAAGAGGGTGTGGGTGAGGATAAGGACTTCCTGGGAAAAGCCCCAAAAGGAACCACACAAGTTATACTGTCAAATTTTTATAATCTTTATAATGCTTTGGTAAGACCACTCTTGAGATATTGTATCCATTTTTGATCATATCAATATAAAACAGTTGAAACTCTAAAGATGATAGAGAAGAGCAACAAATATGATTAGAAGATCAGAGGCTAAAATATGTGAAGAACAGTTGCAGAATTGG